CCTTAAAAATGTGCATTGTCTTTGGTTTGGGAACGCATTAAATTTATTTATATTATTCCTTATGGGAAATATTTGTTTGGTACTTGTCATTTTTGGTACTCATCATGCCTCCTGGAACCAATTAATGACGAGTACTGAGGTACCACTGTAATAATGTTACAGTGGAGAATGCCTGGAAGATGAACTCATGGGCCATGGACTGATTATTCTACATTGATACTTCCAGATACATCTCATCTATTTCTGTAAAAAAAAAGGCAAGAAGAAAAGCCAATTAAACAGTAATGTATATTTCCATACATTTCAAAGAAAAATCCTGTGGACTGTATGATATTGAGGTCTGTCATTCATGAAATCTCAGTGTTTAATCCTAGACTTTTTCTTTCCCTTCATCTCCTAATTTAGACTGTACCCAAGCAAATCCCAACATTCCAGGATCTTTAGATGCATTATAATATCAATTATCCAAAACTGACCAAATAGATATAAAAGCTGATATTAACAGAACTTGTATTATCAATAGATGCAAGCATCTCACCTGTGGCTTTCCTTCTGAAAACAAATTCCTACTATTATCAGGAGTGGGCGACCTTTGAATGCGAAGGAGCCACTTAAAAGGCAGTAATGAGTCCAGGTCCCACAGATGGGTGAGATCAGAGTTCGGTTTAAGTTCAGTTGTGTTCCCCATCTTCCAAGAGAGCATGGGCAGGGGTATATTTTCAGCTGCTTTGGTATAAGAAGGTTTAAGATCCAAGAAAACAAAGGGTCGCAGAGGTGAAAGGAAGGGAAGGGAAGGCTGAAAATAGCAGAACTTTGTGATGAGTGAAACAGCTGGCATTTCGGTGCTGAATAGCATTTCATTTCACAGCACTTTATAGTTCCAATGATTCAGCTCTGGTCAAACCTCCTGATTCTACTGATAGTTTTAATATAATATTGCTTGTCTTGCCAAGGAAGCGCTTTTCTCACTTCCAGCTTTGGCCCGTTGTGGTGTTGCCCCCCTTTGAGCCTGTGACAAGGAAACAAGGTGACGAAGATGAGAGAGAGGAGCTAATGCCTTCCCTTCCTAGGCAAGTCAGATGTCCAGGCTGCAGTACTGAGATGCATTAGTGATGCCATAGTAGAAACTGTTAGATCAGGCGCAGGGAAAGAAGACGCGACCAGCATAGGTCCATTCAGCACCTTTATTCAGTACAGAATAAGAACAACGGCTGTGCTGCCGGAGCTCTTTTATAGCGCTCCGGCAGGCTGAGCCGTCCAGTGACAACGGTTCATTTTTCCCACCGGTGGATTAGCCAATCCCCGGCAGATGCCCTTATAAGGACATAACACCCCTCCCCTCTTAGTCTGTCCATCAATGTCAATAAAAGTCATGTAGCTACGCAGATAGGCGGGACATCTGATAGTCCTGGTTGACCTGCGCAGTCCCATTTGAGCTTCGCCGCCTACCCAAGCAGGCGGAGCTCCTGTTCTCTCTGGCTCCCGTTCTGGAGTCTGGAGTTCAGCCGTCAAGTGTGCGGGCCCTGCCCCAGCACCTCCGGCCACATCGTTGGGATCTATCCGCTGGTGACACTGGTCTTCTCCCTGACCTGGATTCTGGATACCTCGCGGCTGGACATAGCTGTCGACCGTTGGGGAACAACTGATGTCCAGTAAGTCCATGGGTTTTTTCTTTTCCCTCTGTTATAGTTGTTGTTGTTGAAGCTGTTGTTGTTGTTGTTGTTGGCCCCTCTGCATGTCGGATTGTCATGGCTGGTGGCCGACCTCGCCGGGGGGGGGTCACCCATCTACCTTGTCGGGCTGGTGTTGGCCTCCCTCGCCTGGCTGGTGCTAGTCGACCTCGCCAGTGTGTTGTGGGACTGCCCTTCCTACTCATTGCCGGTCTCCTCTGTCGGGGTGGTGGAGATCTCTAGGTGAGTTATCTGTGAATCCTTTTCTAGGATGAGTCCAAGTTACTTGCTAGATTGAATATAGTTGTCAGGTTCTTCTCAATTTACTGAATCAGAAATGGAAGGCAAGCAAAGGTAGCCATCTATTCATAACCATTATCTTTTCTCTAGCCAATCAGGGTAGTCTTTGTCTTGTTGCAAGATATTATCTCCAGTAGACATTATTATATTATTATTATTATAATTTATTTTATATATCACCCTTCTCCCGAAGGACTTGGAGGCAGTGAACAGCCAGCAGATAAAATACAGAAAATACAAAAATTAAAACAATATTAAAAACCAATTAAATTAATTTGGCCCACAATTAAAACACCCCCATATTAAAAAACCCATAATTTAGCAATTTAAAATTAAAACAATTTAAAAAATATGGTCAGGTCAGCCCAGCTTGATGAAACAAAAACGCCTTTAAGGCACGGCGGAAAGTGCACAGATCTGGGATCCGCTGTATCTCTGGGGGCAACTCGTTCCAGAGGGTTGGTGCCCCCGCAGAGAAGGCTCTCCCCCTGGGGGCCGCCGGCCAACATTGTTTGGCCGACGGAACCCTGAGGAGCCCCTCTCTGTGGGAGCATACTGGTCGGTGGGAGGCTACTGGCGGCAGAAGGTGGTCTCGTAAATATCTGGGCCCTAAGCCATGGAGCGCTCTAAAGGTGGTAACCAATACCTTGAAGCGCACCCAGAAGACCACTGGGAGCCAGTGCAGCTCGTGCAGGAGAGGTGTTACATAGGAGCATCGAGTCGCCCCCATCACCACCCGCGCGGCCGCATTCTGGACCAGTTGGAGCCTCCGGGTGTTCCTCAAGAGGAGCCCCATGTAGAGAGCATTACAGTAGTCGAAGCGGGACGTGACGAGGGCATGAGTGACCGTGCGTAAGGCATCCCGATCCAGAAAGGGACGCAACTGGTGAATCAGGCGAACCTGATAAAAAGCCCCCCTGGCCACAGCCATCATATACTCTTCCAAAGACAGCCGTGTATCCAGGAGGACACCCAAGTTGCGAGCCCTCTCTGTGGGGGCCAATGACTCGCCCCCAAAAGTCAGCGATGGTACCAACTGACTATATTGGGATGCCAGAAGCCACAGCCACTTGGTCTTGGATGGGTTGAGCCTGAGCCTTTTTCTCCCCATCCAGATCCGCACGGCCTCCAGGCACCAGGACATCACATCAAGGGCATCGTTGGGGTGGTCCGTGGTGGAGATGTAGAGCTGAGTATCATCAGCGTACAGATGACACTTCACCCCGAAACCATGGATGATCTCACCCAGAGGCTTCACATAAATGTTGAACAGAAGGGGCCAGAGAACCGACCCTTGCGGCACCCCACACACAAGTTGCCTCGAGGTCGATCTCTGCCCCCCTGTCAACATGAACTGCGACCGGTCGGAGAGGAAGGAGGAGAACCACCGCAACACGGTGCCCCCTATCCCCAACCCCTCCAGTCAGCGCAGCATGATACCATGGTCGATGGTATCAAAAGCCGCCGAGAGATCTAATAGGACCAGGACAGAGGAACAACCCCTGTCCTGAGCCCTCCAGAGATCATCCACTAACGCAACCAATGCCGTTTCCATGCTGTGCCCAGGCCTGAAACCCAACTAGAACGGATCTAGATAAACCATTTCCTCCAGGAACCGGGGAAACTGTCGTGCCACCACACTCTAAACAACCTTCGCCACAAAGCGAAGGTTGGAGACAGGACGATAATTTGCTAATACAGCCGGGTCCAGGGAAGGCTTCTTTTATACTAGATATGCCTAGTATAAAAACAGTTCTCCTGTGGAATCCCAGTGTAACAAAAATTTTAAATGTATTCTGTGTAGAAAGTTTTAGACCAATTGTGATCAAGGTGTAGAAAAATAAGATACAGTTAATGTAGCTCCTTCACATCATTTCTTTGTTGTCCATCCTGTTCTCAATATTTTGAAAGCAATAATTTTGGAAGTCAAAAGCCTATTCTATTTGCCCTTTCTCTGTCTCAAAGAGTCAATTGCCTGGGTCTATATAACTAGTTCAAATGCCTTGAATACTCTAGAACCGTGATGGCGAACCTATGGCATGCGTGCCACAGGCGGCATGCGGAGCCCTGTTGCCTGGCACGCCAGCTCAGCTCCGGCGTGCACGCATGCACCGGCCAGCTGATTTTCGGGCCCACCAGAAGTAGGGAAACAGGGTGTTTCCTGCCTCCGGTGGGACTGGAGGGGTGGGGAAGGCCTGTTTTTCTTTCTCACCTGGCTCCAGATCTTCTCTATGCATCTGGGGAGAGTGAAAACAGCCTTTCCCACCCCCTCGGAGGCCCTCCAGAGGCCCAGTTGGATAGGAAGTGATTTTTTTGCTGTCCCCAGCCTCCAGAGCCTTTCTAGGAGCAGGGGGGAGGGGGAGTGATGCGCGCATGCACAGGGCAGGGCACATAGAATTATGGGTGTGGACACATGCGCGCGCGAACCTCCCCCCCTTTCCTGACATGTGATGGTAAAAAGGTTAGCCATCACTGCTCTAGAAGGTAGTGCAACATGTTCAGAATTAGCTTTGCAAAGCATAATAAAGAAGAAACTATGAACTTACAAGCTGGAACATGTAAGTGGCTTCAGCCCACCTCAACATGGGAGATTGAAGCTCCACTATGAGAATATGCCCATGGCAAAAAGGAAATGGAACATCTTTATATCACATTACGCAAGCTGGGTGAATTTACTTGGATTTAATTTTATTTATAATGTATATAAAACAAATACAAATTGTGTGTATTTAATATTTCAACAACTTCTTGAAGACTGCCATCATGCACTTTGTGACACTCTGTTTCCATTAGGATATGAAGTGATTAATTCTGCTTTTATATTTAATGTTTAATTTGTTCTCTTGTTAACACTGAATTATTGCATCTTTTCCTTATCTTTCATTTCTACTTTTATTTTTTAAATAAATTTGTCCTGTTAAAGCCAACTCTAATAGTAACATAGTAGAAATCTTATCTTATTTTTATGATAATCAGCATCAACCAGATTTGCATGCAAATACTGTAGTTTTAAAAATCAAACACACAAAATTTCATGACCAACAATAAAATTTATTCTTCTTTAAGTATTATTTAATTGTTTATAAGCAAGATAATGAAAACAAAGACATTCTTTATCATAGTGTGTATGAAAACTTAAGAAGATTAAGGGGAAGATAAATATTCAAATAATCTGGCAAGAGACTTCAGAACATTTATATAAAAGATACCTTAATGGAACACTGCTGCCAGAGCCATTCAGAGTGAGCAGCATTGGATGGGCAAGATGTAAGCGGTGTAGCACAGGGAGAAATACAAAGATTCCATATCGTTTACTCCACAGACTATATTTGCATTGAATGTGCAATTTTGCACAAGTCTAGCGTTAAAAAGCCACTGACTTCAAGATGCATTGGCATAGCTCCCCCTTGTCATCTAAATAAAATTTTAAATGAGATTATCCTACTCAGAACAGTTTTATCCACCCTGATCAGGAAGTAAGCCCAAGTGGCTTTTGAAAAATTTTCTCTAATTTGCAATATATCTACTTCAAGACATCAGATCTCTGCTATTAGTTACAAAAATTATAGAAATAATGAAAGATATTTCTGCAGATGAATACAGTATGTGTTAGTTAAAAAACCAACTTGTTCTTATCAACTGAAAAAAAACTCAGAAAACATTTATATATGCTCTTAATACCGGTATTTCTAAAAAAAGCCCAGATCTCCAGATAATGAATTCTAGTAAAGTTATTTAAATTCAACACAAAAGCTACATACCTAACAGTTGGTTAATCTGAAAACATTAAAGTATAACAGTGGGTTACAATATTGGGCAAATTACCATATTTATATTTAATGTTGCCTAATTATGTGGTTTTTTTACTCAAAAGAAAATCTCAGGAAGCTCTATACACCAAGGAAGTGTCCTGGGATTGCCATCTTATTTTTTGTTTTGCAATAACGTTCTTGGGAAGAGTAATGTTTCCCATATTTCTAAGTTAAACGAAGAGTTTTTTAAAGCAAGAGTGACAGTAGGTTTTGCCATTCTGCTCCTGAAAAATACCATTGTGCAACTGAGTAAGGCAAAAGGCACAAACAAAGTGCTCTGGGTGAAACTTGTGTCCCATGGCACTGACGCACCGTCCAACGATAGGTTTTCCACAACCATGGCACACTGTTCCCTGGTGATGATGGAAGTGAAGCTCACAGTATGGCTGACCATTCAGTTCAAAGAAAGAACCATCAGTAAAACTGCAGAAACAATCCTGAAAATAGAGGAAAGGAGCCTGTGTCAGGGTATAAAAATATTTCTGAGATTGGCATATGGTTAGATTCTTTCCAGTGCTGCATTAGGCAAAGGCACCCTGATTACTAGTTCGCTACTATTTAAAATAAATAACTTTGGCTGTTTTTTTTTCCTAATTCATTATTTTCTTCTTGGAATTATGTTTGAAACATAAACCCATCCAGGACAGAAGCGGAACTGTTACAAAAACAGCTAATCCTGCCCAAGGTTTTTCAATGCAAGTATCCAGGTCAACATAAGGACACTTAAGAATAGGCCCACTTTTTCCTAATATTAAGTTCAAATTGTGTTGCAGTGTTCTCTTCCACTTTTAACAATGTTAACTTGCTATCATCAATATTTGGATAGTGTGTTTATATGTGTATGTGTGCATGTGTATGCGTGTAGGTATGTGTGTACACACGTAAAAATATACACATGCTTTGTGGCACAGGTTTAATATCAGATTTTATTATTTTTAGTTTGAGAGATTTCCTAATATCAAGGTGCAAATCACACATCAATTAGCTGGCATTTAAGAAGTCTAATTATATGCAGGGGCTGTAACCAAAGTCTATCTGGAGCCCCTTAAATATTGGATGTACCACTAAGCCAAATCCCACCACTTAAGTGTCCCATAACTACCAGCTACCCAAACAGATACTAACTCTGGGTGATTCCACATACTTACTCTGCACACAAAACATTCGGGATGCCATACGGCATTCAGAGCTGACAAATATTGAGTCATCACAGGACGATCACAGCCTCTGCATTTGGGAGAAAAAATGCTCTGGAAATCTTTCTGGCAGTATGGCTTTCCATCTTTCACCTGGAAACCTACAGAAAAAGGTTTGGGAACATAATAATTAAAAACAGTGAATTCGTCACACAGACACAAAGGTATGCTATCTCTTTGCTTGGAAAAGCATTAGGAAGGGAGAGACTCTTTAATTAGGGTCCCTGATCTTCAGACTAGTTGAATATTGATCTGTTAACGATCTTGGTTGTCAAAGCGAGAACTATTTTGACATGTAGTTCTTTTTATGAGTTCTTACAAATTGCAGGAGTGAATGTTTTGCCATAAAGGCAGGAAGAAACAGGGTGGAGACAGAAGGAGAAGGATAGAGAGATGGAGATTTAAGAGACTGGTAGAAAGGAATATATAATTAATGGTTTTCTATTAGCTTCCATACAAGGAACAAAGTAGAAGATATTACATCACTGGCATTTAACTCTAACTAAATTTGCATGAATGATCCATAATCATTCATCAAATTGTTATAGGGCTCGGAATCAGAAAGGAACATTTTTATCAGTGTGGTAGACTTGTAAAAAGGTGAATTATTGGATGATACTATTTAAAGTTAGAATAATAACTGAACAAAAAATAGAATGCGTTCAAGAGTTGTGATTACTACATATTTTTGAGGGCGATAACTCTAAATAAAAAGGAGCTAATTGTATTCTTACTCCTGGCTGCAGAATTGAAAGTTGCTCAAAACTGAAATTTCTAGATAACCTGTGATTGAATAATTGGCATGCAAAAGTATGGTCAATTGTTCTTATGGAAAAAGTGACCGATAAAATTTGAATGCTGATTTCGCTAATTGATGAATCACATTTTTATTGGTTCTGGAAAGATTATATACAGTAAGTTGTACTTCTAATAATAACTCTTCTACTGATAAATTGAATGTTATGTAACCTATGATTGAATGTTGACAATTTGGCATTGTTATTTTATATTCTTGTTGTTTTTGCTTTACAGAATATTAAACATTAAAAAATTAAAAACAGGTTGTGGCATTCTACAATATATAATAAAGGAAGCAATACATGTTTAATGCACGCATGAATGACTTATAAATTTAAAAGTCTAGTTCTAAATATAACATCTATAATGGAATAGCTGTGGCTAGCAATGATGAATGGAGAGTAGTGGGCAAAGAATTTGGTAATAGGTTGGATATAATATTATGACTATGACCACATGTGCTCTAATTCTATTTGTTTGCTGGAGGTTTTGAATAATGGTAGCTTGATTGCTTCCTGGGAAGAAAGTGTCCAAAATGGCACAATGGCTGTACTTCAGTGTCTGTAGGATGAGCAATGAAACTGTCCCTTTGTTATTGTCACACCCTTTAATCTCTATTTCCAGATGAGCCTCCACTCACAGTCAGAGAAGGTATGCTCGTGGTGCCAGACTGATAAGGACTGAGTTTCTCAGCCAAAGGCAGCCAGGAATCTCCATCTAGAATCTACCTTGGATAGTTACTTTCCTTATACCAGAAATAACTACTAAATAGACCAGAGGTCTTCAAACTTGGCAGCTTTAAGACTTGTGGACTTCAACTCCCAGAATTAGCTGGCTGGAGAATTCTGGGAGTTGAAGTCCACAAGTCTTAAAGCTGCCATGTTTGGGGACCCCAATATATATATATATATATATAAACTTGGTACGAAGGGATTTCTATACATTCTATGAATTAGCGACCAAACTGGACAAAGAAAATGGTGCCGATATGCTTTCCTACACCCTTGTGAGTATGGTGGAGCTTTATATTCTCTAGAATAAAAGCAGGCCCCTTTTTACAAGCCAATTCTGCTTTAGATAAAGGTTTTACATTGTACTAGAATGAAATACTTTGAACATAAAATACAAGCATGCTGATAGAATGAAATACTTTGAACATAAAATACAAGCATGCTGAAATGAATCTGTTAATACATATGTTAATTTACAAAAACTATAATAACGAAAGTGCATTCACAAGACATTATGTGACAAATATTTTCAACAGGAGGCTCTAAGATCAGAGTTGGTGCTTTTCATGAGATGATTATATCAGATAGTTTAAGAGGAAAGTTACTGGACCAATAAGTAAAGGCTAAAAGATTTGCTGTTATGACCACGAGAGGATTCCAAGAACAAATCTATTATCAGTGCAGATGAACCATTCTAGACAGAATTCTGGAACATTAAGTTCTGCCCCCTTATCTTTCACACAAAATAGATAAACATGAACATTTAGATTTTTAGATTTGCTCTGTTTCAAGAAAGTCTAAATTCCTCACATAGCTTAAAGAAAAAATCACCATAGGTATCCCAGTAAAGGCAAATCGCTATGATGCAGAAAAGTGGAGGATTTAAAAAAAAAAAGATTTTGAAGCAAAAACAGGGATGAGTTTTAAATGAGAAGCCATTAAAGATAGAGCTTGATATTGGGAACATATGCAGTTTGATTTCCTCTAAACTTTACTCTCTCTCCTCTGGTGCAATACCTGGCTGAACTTGTCTAAGAAATATTAGTATGGTTAATATTTGAGTGAGAATCTACCCAGATATTCCAGGCCTCAAAAGAATACAGTCATCAGGAGTTCAACTCAATTTGCTAAATATTTACTTTTTAGAATAAACCGAGAAATTGAAGAATATTCTAAAAGGCAATGACAACCGTCTTTTGGTACTGTGGTTAAGAAAAATGCATGGCTGTTTCCATGTAGATCAACTCAAGGGTATATTTATCTATACTTCCTTATATAGAATTTGGAAGTGAAAGCTACAGATTGCTGCTAACAAAGTAAATTTGTTATGTCCTTATTTGGGCATCCGCCGGGGATTGGCTAATCCTCCGGCGGGAAAATTAAAGAACTGTCATTGGGCGGCTGAGTCTGCCCAAGGGACACAGCCCGGGAGCACAGCCGCTCGTCTTTTCCTTGTGCTTAAATAAAGTGCTGAATTGGACCAGAGCTGGTCGCGTCTTGCTTCCCTGCGCCGACTATAAATGTTCGATCAATAAGGCCCTATCGCAGAGCGCATACCCAGTTCCAGTGGTGCAACATCTGCTGCATTCACTTGGGAGTGGGACAATATTTGCCAAACTGGACCTGGCCCAGGCTTACCAACAATTGCCAGTAGACGAAAAAACTGCGGAGGCACAAACTATTGTCACCCATAGAGGCGCATTTAAGTGTAACCGTCTCCAATTTGGAGTCAGCGCAGCCCCAGGCATTTTTCAATCCATGATGGAACGCCTTCTCCAAGGCATTCCAGGGGTGGTGCCGTACTTCGATGATGTGTTAATCTCCGGGCACTCTAAAACCCAGCTGCTTGAGCGACTTAAACAAGTTTTGCAGCGCTTCAAGGAGAAGGGTTTGAGAGTTAGGAGAGACAAATGCATCATTGGGGTCCAGGAGGTCGAGTTCCTGGGCTATCTCATAGATGGCACCGGCATCCACCCCACCAAAGCTAAAGTCAGGGCAATCCACGAAGCTCCAGACCCCAAAAACAAAGCCGAACTTCAAGCATTTTTGGGATTGCTAAATTTTTATGCGGTGTTCCTTAAACAGAAGGCAACAGCCGCTGAGCCACTCCATCGATTGCTGGGGAAAGCGGTTCCGTGGAGATGGGGGACAGAAGAGGAAGCCGCCTTCAAGACCATTAAGGGACTCCTATCATCAGACAGCGTGCTCATCCAGTACCATGAGACGCTTCCCCTGCTGCTGACCTGCGATGCTTCACCATATGGGATTGGCACAGTCCTCAGCCACCAGCTACCCAATGGATCAGAGGCACCCATCGCCTACTTTTCCAAAACGATGTCCAGCACCGAAAGAAATTACAGTCAGCTGGACAAGGAAGCCTTGGCCATCGTGGCTGGCATCAAATGCTTCCACGAATACCTATATGGCCGGAACTTCACGGTCATCACAGACCATAAGCCACTATTGGGACTTTTAGCAGGTGACAAGCCCACACCCGGGTATATGTCGCCCAGGATGACACGCTGGGCCATCTTCCTTGCCGGGTATTCCTACAAACTCGTCCACAGGCCCGGCAAAACCATCGGGAACGCAGATGCCCTGAGCAGATGCCATCCAGGGAGCCAGTAGAAGACCCCGCACCCACCCTCAGTCTCCTCCACATAGACGCCGACAGAGACTGCCCAGTGACGTCAGCTGACGTGGCCACCCACACCCAGAGGGACCCTGTGCTCAAACAAGTAAGATCCTGGGTCTTGCGAGGCTGGCCAGCAGAGAAACCGGCAGAAAAGTTCAGCCCGTTCGCACGGAAGCAACAGGAGCTGTCCACGATGAAAGGCTGCATCCTATGGGGAGACCGGGTGCTGATTCCCAGCGCGCTATAGAAGAAGACGCTCAAAACGCTCCACAATGGACACCCTGGCATCGTGAGAATGAAAGGACTGGCACGGAGTTACGTCTGGTGGCCATCCCTTGACAAGGACATTGAAAAGTGGATCGCAACAAAATTGTTTTGTTTATTACCAATCTTACCTACTTAAATGCTTAGGATATTTTATAACAGTTTGTTTGCAGACAGTGCGGTGTAGGGTTTTTTAGGTAGATAATTGTTTAAAACGCTTCTTTTGGACTCCACAATCTCTAGAAAGGCATCTATACATTGTTTCCAGTGAATTTGCTTAGTCTCCCTATACTGACCTCATCCTTGATAAATTGATTTACTTTTCTATTAAGGCTTCAGGAAGATTATAAAATATTCTTATAAGGTTAGAGTGAACAAGTTTTCCTCTCAGTTACTAAGATTGTGTAGGGTTAGGGTTAGGGTTAGCGTGTGGTCCCGTTGCGAACTGGTAGTAAAGGTAAGTAGAACCCACTCCCTGAACTGCAGTTATTCACTTAACAACTGTGGCAAGAAAGGTTGTAAAATGGGGCAAAACTCAATTAACAACTGTCTCGCTTAGCAACAGAAGTTTTGGGCTCAATTATGGTCCTAAGTCAAGGACTACATTATTGCTCTTTATAAAACATGCTAAGATAAAATAAATAAATTTGATTAAGAAAAAGTTTCTCCTGCCGAATCAGAATTAACAATCTAGTTGAATTAACAATCAGTTGTGCCACAGCCACGAAGAGAAGGATAATTGTTTAGACAAATCAAGCCTGCTCATGCCACTAGCCAGCTTGTTACCATTCATATTGAGTAAAAATATAATTTGGTTCAAAGTGGGGTCAGCTAGTGCTTTGCTAAACTTCTGCAATTCTTACATGTTTCAAGAGAAAACAACCCTTAATTGCACAAAGCAGTTATTGCATTGGAATCTGAGTCACCACACCAAAGATGAAGAAACTGCTGCCAATGCAATAAAGTTCATGCTTCTAAAAGCATGAAGCAATAACTGTGAGCAGTGCTCAGGGGAAATTCTCCCACATGGCCAAGAAAGAAAGAATAGTGCCCTTGGGTTGCCTAAAAGACTTAATTTAGTTAGAATCCAGCTCATCTCTAAATTGGCCTGTAAAACTTTTTGCATTTTAGTTCTAATTAGGAGCTCGGGGACCCAAGTTTTACTGATATGGGCTCAGAGATCCACTAGGAGCTAATTACTGGTGTCCTATTAGTGCTCATACGTGATCAAATCCCACGGTGAGTGTGCTGATGCTTTTCTGATTGTTGTTTGTCAAGCAGGAAAAAAAACCCAATTATTTGCTGCATGCTACCCAGGAAAAATGAAATTGAAACACTTTAATCAGTGCTCCCCTCTGCTGCTCTGTGTATCAGCTTACACTCAGGAGAGATAAAACGCATTCAAAGAAAACTATGATACTGGCATCCATTAGAAGAAAACTACTATTACCTGAGTGACCATACATACATGCATACATGTCATGCCATTTCCTTAGAAGGCAGACAGTATGGTGGGGTCCTTGGTATTCTCTGAGCTCGGTAGTTTTCTTGCAGATGTTTCATCATCAAATCAGGTAACCTCATCAGTGCTTTATCTAGTTTGATAATAAAACATCTGCAAGAAAACAATCAAGCTCAGAGAGGACCCCGCAGTTCGAATCTGAGCTACAAATATTCTCTTCTATCAGCAGACAACATGATATGACATGAAGAAAAAACATAAGAAATAATAAGCCAAAAACATTAAATGCATGAGATAAATGAAAGGAAACAAGTTGCAGCCAATTTATACTGACATCATTTATGACGCCTTCACACTTTCTAGCTTTGTGAACCTTCTATCCTTCCATCAAGTCTGTACTTAGCTTCAGCCACTACTTTTTGTTCTTTAAGGAGTCTACCTCCTCTTTAGAAACACTTATTGACTCCATCCAACCACACTTTTTCTTACTTCTCCTTTTTTCAGTGCAGTCACTCTTCCTTCACATATTTGCTTCACAATTCAGCCCTCATTCTTTCTCTCTGTATAACTGAACCGCCTAAGGTACCGTACTTCTTTAGTACTCTCATTTTTTAATCCAATCCACATTCATTCAACATCCATCCATCCATCCACTCACTTATTCATTCATTCTTCCTTGATCCAATCTTTTCTTGTTTTCTTGTAGATGTAAGTACCCCATTTTCTCTGCATCCATCATTTTTATATTTCTCCTGATATACCAAATTCTGACTTCTATATAACAAATGCAGCCAGAAGCATACATTTATTCACAGCCATGTTTGCATCTTTCAGCAAGATTCCTTACTCCATCCTACTGGCAACTTTTCTAGCGGCATTTTCTATCTTTAAAAATTCTGCATTCATTTCCTCATTTGCAAATTCACATACAGCACCTCCTCAAATTTTTCTTGGCTTGTGTATAATATTGAATCACTTCCCGCAGAGTTGGAATGAGATGTTTGGGGCTAAGAATACTTCTACTCGGAAATGTTTCACATTCATCTACCTGGATTATATTTATACCAATAGATAAAGACATTAAACAAGCTGGCAAAAGCTAAGTCAGGAACTTTGAGAAATAATGACGCACCATCATCACCAAAAACAGTCCCACAATGTGTACAAAAGAAATGCTCAGGGTGCCAAGTCTGATCCATAGCTGTTATGATTTTCTGTAAAGAAAACAAAAAGCTTTACTGGAATAATATTATATATGACAAATGTATCTTTGGTACATGGAACAGTATTGTCTTTAGCCTCACATAGCTAATGCTTGGGACGAGTTATGAAGGCAGTTGATTACCAGAAGGCAGAAACAGTGAAACATACCTCCTGGATGGGTGCCGTACAGTAAGCACAGCGAGGAGAGAAGAGCTGATGGTAGTCTTCTTGGCAGTAAGCTTTATTGTCCCGCTCAAAGAATGGCCGGGAGCCCACTTCTTTTCCACAATGGGCGCATGTGAAGTGTTCAGGATGCCATATCTTTCCCAGAGCTGTAATTACCTAGAATTCATTAAAGGATTAGTTGAAGACATTGGATAAAGATACTTCACTCTCTACAGTGCAGACTCTCTCAAAAAGAAGCTACACATTCTCAAAGATGCTCTGTTTTACATCAAGCGCCCCTCATTGGCTTAACGAGCAACAGAAGCTCTTTAGGCTAAGACATAAAGATTCTCAGTGATTGCAAAATAAAAAATTCTAATTTGCCTTCTTAATTATAGATGTCATGCAGTTTAAAAGTGTGACAAATAAGCAATTGATTATAGCAACCTTGGTGAGACTGGGAATGGTAGAAAGAGCAGATAGCTAGATCCATCCCCATGCTTACCTTTCCAGCAATAGGTTTATGGCAAGAGGCACAGTTACCCTTAGGCACAGTAGCAACGCCAAGGTCCTGCATATCATGAGTCAAACTCTTCAACATGCTGTCTAGGTTGTCAGTGGTGTTCCCTTCTGCTGAAGTTGACTGACCAGAAGTGGCCAGGCCATCTGAGACCTACCGGAGAATAAATAATTTGCAATCTCTATCTTTTTGTGTAGCTTTCTCTGCTTCCAGGACAGGTATTTATTGATCTATTTATCTGCAACATTCACACACTTTTATAAAACATTTTCGATGACATATAATTCTCATATATACATCCCCACATTTTTTTTTTCTTTCCTGAAAAAAATGTTTGGAACAAACAGAATCATGCTTTTCTTTTTGAATGGCAAATCTACGAACTCTTAATTATGTAATACTGTAAGGACATGGTTCTTAAACATGTTCTTTTTTATTTTGTACATTCAACTGCACAAGGCTTTTAGCTCCCTTAACTTCCTATGCTCAAACTACACCCCCAAACGATATTATGAAAACCATTTCCCACAGTTCTTTTCCAGATCTGAAACATAGACAATCAGGGAGGCTGCAGGGTGATCAAAGATGCAGCACCAAGAAAAAAAAAAGCCAAGAACAACTGCAATCATAAAATATACTAGATATACACAGAAGCATATGATAATATACACAACCACGGTGAGAAATAATTTAAAGACATTCAGAATAATAGTACTCATGATAGCCTCCAGTCTCACTTCCTAAGTATTTTTAAACCCTGTACTCTCCCTTTATGATTTTTTCCTGTCAATATGAATTTGAAGCAGGCAAGCTGACTTTAATGTAGACAAGCTCCATCTTTCCTTAATTTATTTGCCAGTGTTTTTCAACCTTGGCAACTCCAGTATGCGTGGACTTCAACTCCTAGAATTGTGAGTTTATTATACTCTGTATAAACAGTTTTCATTTCAAAAGGTATTTAAGTTACAATCCCATTATTCACCTTGGACTGGATTGTTCCTAAGCAAGCCAAAATATCATCCAGTTCCTGAGCAACTGAGGTAGAAGATGAGGAGGACACAGTTGGCTGTGGAGGTAAAACTTTGCTATAAAAAATAAAAATATGTATGATCAACCAAGTGAAAGGAATGAAAAAGTAAATCTTTAAATTCTTGCATATACTATCATTCTATCTGTCATTATATACGTATAATACCTTCTAAAAAAAAAAAACAACCCACTATTTCAGTTATTTACTTATTGGCCTCAAAAGTTCATCTCAGAATATGACTCAAATTTATGAATGGCAAAACCTGTGATTTATTTGCTGTTCTACTGTATTAGTATTAGGCAAGCAATAATTCTGCCTGTCCTCTTACCGACTTCCCATTTTCTATAAAGCACTGATAGATTGCATGCATGTATAAGACAGTCCAATTTGTGAAAGGCTGTAGAAATTTAATGCAATATATGGAGACCACACATTTTCATGTCATTTAATTCATCTATCTTTTTGCTCATCATTCTTAAGTGATGAACTGGCAAATCAAAATATTCCTTTCATAAAGCAGTTAAAACTTTCACTATGAAGAAAAATTTTTGAGTTGCAACACTCAACTTTTATGCTAATGTCTGAGCTAATTTATTAATTTTAAGTCACCCTAAATTTTTCCGGTTAGATAGCATAAGTGTATATTATACGGATGATAATAAAATATTTTTTCCAAAATAATTTTCACCCACTCTGCAAGCCAAAAATTACATTATATACTAAATCACCCAGGGTTCTTGGAAATAAGGATGAATAATTTCCAGAGCTTTATATTTCTGACTCAGGATATATTTACATTCAGCCTTGTGAGTACCGTACAGATAAATATTCCTCCTGTTTAAATGTTACTTAAAATACCAACTTGATTCCCTGTTTTGAAAATTAGTGACATTGTTATAACCATTTGATGATGTTAACAGAAACTAAAATAAAGTGACTTGATTGTAGCATCCTACTAGAAGCTGATTAAGAGTAACCTGGAATTAATGGCTAGGGAGAATTGATAAACTTTTGTGTATATAGAATAACTGGCTATACACACTCTGGCACACATTTTTTGATTGGGCAAGCTCCATTTCCTTCAATGTTCTATCAAAATGCAAAATATGCCTTGGTAACTCCAACCTATAGATAATGACCCATCTATTGGGTAAAAAGCAGCCATACTTACATTGGTAAATGTCCTTAGGTAAATGTCCTTAGGACATCCATGGGAAACTGCTTAAAATGTCATATTACAGTTTGGAAGTGAGCTTTTATAAGGAAATTGATCGTTCTAATTTCTTTACTCAAGCATAGACAAGTGAGGACAGTGATACAGCTTTAGAAGACATGAAATGCAAAACAGTAGTATAATTAAAAGATAATGTTTATTTTTTTCTGTAATAAGTTACCTGTAAATATTATCTGCATCTTCTTTATGGGTTTGAACATTGCATGCTGGTTCTACCTGGAAATATATATATATAGCAGATACATGTAAGAATACTGCCTATACCCAAAGTCCCTGAAGAAAATGCTCGATTTCTGGTTATTATCGTGCTGATAACTACAACCATTCAGAAAATGTTGCACTGCCCAGTACTTCTAAAGCAGCCTCTAAACTATCATCTTCCATTCTGGAACCAGTTCTTCTACATGTTGTAATGGTCAACTATGTTCCAGATACAAATTGGGAGAGAAAGGCAAGCAAACGGACTATCCAGTAAAGAATCTGTTATATATCAGAACAGGGATGAGCCAAGGGCTGGAATGAATTTTCTAATAGGGTCAAATTTGTGAGCACTTCCTTTCATAATTTGTAGCTTCCTAAGACTTATATAGCTTAAGAAAAATACCTTTTTTGCTTCTTCAGGTGTTAATTTGTGGTATTGGGTTAAATGGCTTTCTGTTGTTGTTGCTGCTGGTTTTGGTTTGTTGTCGCGCTCCAGAAGAAAGCAAACAGTTGGGTCTGAGTCATTCACAGTCAGACTCTGTGTGGTTTGTTCCAGTTCTGCCAACAAAGCATCTAAACAAAAGCATTATATGGTTCAAATACATCTGTCTTTTTGTCTTAGTTTTCTACAAGCCCTTTGGTATGTGCATCCCATCTCACTGTGAGTTCTTTAGCAGAAAAATAACTCTATTGCATTTGTAAAACTACAATATTGCTATCAAATGTCTCCTTGATCTATGATGACCTAGGCTGGGGCAAACAGAAGTGGAGGAAAAGACCTCTTGCTATTCCAGACTGCTACCACTATAGAAAACACCAAACTATATCTTGTAACAGAGAAGCAAAAAAGAATTGCTCATCGATTTAGGGATTATTCTATCCTTCCCAGAATGAATGTATTCACAGAAAAAGGTGGATCTAAAAGCTAAGTATAACCAAGAGATGGAAATCCCAAATTACTATAATCCTGTAGAAAAAAGAAAGAAAGAGAGGCAATAAAATTTAGCATCCACACAGAGTTCTTGTAAGTCTTGTCAATATAGTTTTTAAAACTATGTAAAAGATACAATCCATGAAAAAAATTAAAATAATTCAGTGAGAGAATTATCTTGACGACTGATAGCACTGCCTTAGCCAAAAATATAAAAAGTAAATGTGCTTGTTTACAACATTTTCTCAGAAAAGGAAACACCACTATAGTCACAGAACATTTCCATTCTCAGTAACAGAATGCATGCTCTTTTTAGAAAAGATTTTGATCTAATCCTATCTTAAGGTCTGAGTGCAGATTGCTTTATAGGTTCGGAGGATATTTTGGTTGCACATTAATATCTGAATTTTAAATACCATTATATTTTTAATTCATGGCTCCTTGTTCTGAAGTTAAGAGAATATGTGAAATGACACATTAAAAAATATGTCCCTGTTTTAAATGGCCTCTTTATTGTTTAAACCAATAAACCAATTTTCTCTTGTGTTTTTCTGTTTGTGTGCGGGTAAACACATACAAATCTTATATAAGTATATATATGTAATCTTCTCAGAGCTATCCTTCCTCTGTGCTTCCAGGGATTATTCTTCACATCCTCTCTTCACAATTAGCTTGTGTTCATTGTCTCTTCTTGCAATTCAGCCAGATAGTAGCTTCTCCTCCCACTGGCAAAACACTTTCCTTGTCAATGGGCAACTTCTTTAAAAGTCTCTTCATCATTTCTGCTTCCTCAAGATACCTTTTGATCATCTGGTTTTTTATCCAATCACACATACCATTTCCCTCACACTTTAAAATATGGCTTTCTGATATCTGGCTTACCCCTTCACAATGTCATAAAAACAGACATCATAAAATAATCTCTTGCCCTTCTACTGCCTTGGACACACCCATCCAAGACAACTCTCCAAGACCAAGCCAAAGTTGGTCCTATTTTTATTGGCAATTAATTCCATGGGCCAGCCTTACAATGACTGGCATTAAAAATTAGGATAAGCATTAAACAACTATCTGCTGCCTTTTCACAATATTTAAAATCGGACATCTCTTTCTAATCATAAGACTGCTGTTTATGTATATGCCAAACAACTTTTAAGGTTAACGTCATCCTTTCATGTGTGAAGACACAATGAAAAGCTAGAAACAGGAAAAATATATAAACTACATACTTGCAAATTTAACCTGTTTGTCTGTTTTAGACTGAAAGACCCTTGTAAACACATATACTGGTGGCTTGAGTGTTGATATATTGATTGAGACACACATGTGGATGTTATCAAATCACTTTTATCTATCAATAAATCCCTGACTGACAAGTTCTTCTTTTCAGTTATTTCTGATTACTTCAAATGAGGACTTGCAGCTATTGTTTAGACTGAAGAAATCTTCTGATAATATATCCTCACATCTAAAGAATGTAAAATTCTGATCTGGCTTGTAAATGCTGGCTAAGTAGCAACTACACTCTCTTGTGTAAGTGATGATTAATCCTATAAATCCATATATATTGTAGGATCAAAATATTTTAAAATAGTAATACTTGTATTAAATTTGTATGCTACCCAACTCAACAGTTCTGGGTGTCTCACAACAATTAAAGAAATTACTTACCCAAAAAATCAATAAAAGATAAAGATAAAACACGGCAAATATGATAAAGCGAGGGGGTCTTACTGTCTCTCACCAAAGGCCTGGGTGAAGGGCCAGGTATTCATGACTTTGGTGAACAACAGCAGAATGGGAGCCATCCAAAACCTGGGAGGAACCACTACAGAGATGGTGCACTTCCAGAGTTCAATAAATGTTTAATTGAAAGAACCCAGAGAGTGCCAACTCTGGGCACTACCCAGAGTTACAATTTGGAAAATGGGTGGTTATAGAAAACAATGTAATAAGTAAATAACCAGTTCTAAGATGGTTCTTTGATTTTTGTTTATTCTCCTCAACATCTCTATAGTTTTTACTATCGTGACCATTGTATTCATCTCAATTAGCATGGAGCACTTTAGTTCTTGACTGGAGATCAAGCTTCAGAAAAGAGTGCAGAGATTATAGGAACTGTTTTGCTTCTCTGTACCACAGTATTAACAATGGTATAAATAATTGTACCAGATCTGGATTCCCTGGTGCAACAAAGATCTGCTGCTACCGTATTGCACTCATCAAATTGAAATGTAAAAAAATCCTTCTGACAAGAATTGGATTAATGAAGGCTGCTTGTTTCATCTTCATATCATAGGCTCCTTGCCCAGCAATAACATCATGCAGCTGATTGCTAACTCCAAAATGATTTTGGTGGAATGAAATAGGATGAATGGCACTTTTTTCCTTACTAAACCTCTTTAATATAATAATTGCATTTTAAAATACTGTTAAGTCATTGTTAGTGGTATTTATATTCACTTTTCATCTTTTAGAAAAATATAAAGAATTGTACTAGTACATAGGGCTACTAGCATGTAAGGTCGAAGGACAAGTAGCTACAAAATGATAGACATTATGATGGAATAATTCTACTGTTTCATGCTGAAAACATGAAAAATGTGTGTAGTAAAATGTTATAGACTTCAAGAGAAATAGCTAGAGGGGCTCCAATCTCTGTGATTTCTATTGATCACTAGTGGCAATAGCTGATGAGCCAGAGGAAGTGAGGGCTAGCCTAGCAGGATCAAATTTAAAAACATAATTTTTATATTTTCCTAGTTCTACTTTGATTACGAAATGTTTGTTCTTTTAACAATTTACATAGTGTTTTTCCCTGCTGAAATAATCTTCTACTTATTGTATTACGTGTCATCACATTTCAAAATATTATTTTTTAGAGAAAAAATCCTGATTAAAAAGATACAGATAAACCATCAGTTTCTACTCCTAAGTTAGGTTCTAGGTTCCTTCAACATTCTGTTTTAATGTGAATTCACTTTTTTCTATACCAGAAACCAGATAGGTTGCCGTGGTTTACAGCAATCCAACCATTATGGTTTGAGGAGGGAACTGTACTAATGTATACCCATCAAGCAGCAGCTAAAGGCACAAAGCCTCTGCCTGGTGTTCAAGATCTCCTTGCCCTCTTCAGTTTTCTCTGTTTCTCCCATTCTGCATAAGATGAAACTCTTTGCGGTACGATTACAAACCCATTTCTGCAGTCCTTATTCTTTTGCTATACTAAAAAAAAAAAAAAAGAATCACTTACCTAAATCATCCATGACCTATTTCCACTGGGTCTTCTTACCCGAATCTCTGGTAGAGAAGCAGGTTTGTTGAGTAATAGAAGGGGAAATGAGCAAGATGGTGAGGGTGTAGGGCAGTACTTTGCACAGACTTTTTCAGTTCCTCACTCTAACTGCACTTCCTCTCTTTAGAGGTTAATGTTTCTTTCCCTTACTGTGGTTTACATCTTAAGCTGATTTTTCAAAAATTGTATTCAAATTGTACAACAGAAAGAGATGTATATTTGATGTGATCATTGTGCAATTTTTCCTATAGATAGAAATTATTTATCTTCACAGACACTAAAACTAAAACACAGATAAAATACAAACCATACCACTTTTTAAAAAAATTTATAACAGAAATGAAGCATATGTAGGCTATGTCCAACAACTTCTAAAGCTATTGCTATAGCACAAAATTTGCTCGCTTTTTGGGAAGCTTCATAATACTGGTCATTTAACAGGAAATGTACAACTGCCTGCTGGAACAAGACCAAATAATTCATGATTAATTTGGTCCTCCACGAATGATAAATAGCTCATTTCAGGAGTACACACACAACTGTCTTAATTTCAGTGTCTGAAAATATGCAGAAGGATCCTAATAGCAAGCTGCATTAAATTATCTCATCAACATCAACTCAGGGCATCCAGGCACACAAATGTAAGCATTGTTCTATGTTAGGGCCCGAGGATACACTAAAAATATTTGGGGATCTTAAAAAGCAGGTGTGTGAACTCATTATAATAATGATGTGAAATATGAACTCTATCCCTTTGCATATCAAGTTTTATTTTTTTTCTGCTTGACCTCAGTCTACACTTTACCCAAATCCAGCATAGAAAAAGACTGGGGGATAAATCCACAGTAAACCAGATTAGTAAACTAGGTCAGATATAATTTTATTCCTCCATAGGAAACTATGATTGTCTATCAATACATGCTGGACTAGAAACTCACCTCTATATATTAATTTCAGCCAGTATTTTAACTGTAAGAACCTCAAACAGGCCTCAACAGAGATACAGCCATTTGTTCTAATGGGAGATGCATATCTGCAACTGAGTAAGGGGCTTGGAGCACAGACCTCAGGAATTTAGATTAGATTCCTTCTGGGGACAGCAGTAGTTTTATCATATACACACACTATTTTTCACATATAGAAAAGGACTTAGTGTTTTAGCATTCAATAGTTCAATTCCTGTAAGTATAGAGGTATTCCCCGTACAGCTCCATACCTGGTTATTGCACTGGAAGTTTTTTGTGCCTGCAGCATAAGGTTTCTAGATGGAAATTTCCAGGAGGCAGAGTGTTATGTCCTTATAAGGACACCCGCCCGGATTGGCTGCCAGCCATCGGGCGGGAAGTTTGAATAGCTGTCTAGGGGCGGTGCGTCTGCCGGAGTGAATATAAGGAGAGCTCCGGCAGCGCACAGCCAGTCTTGTTACTGTTTCAATAAAGTTACTAAATGTATCGAGCTGGTCACGTCTTCCATTCCTGCGCCTGATCTAACACTGGCGATGAAGGACTAGAGAAGAGAACCTGAGCAAGACTCGTGGCACGATCGCCTAACCAAGCTGAAGTCACTCAACCGCGGCACCGCACAGAATGGCAACCCCGCAAGCACCAATCGCTTCGCTGAATCCATTCGACCCGGCAAGAGAGAAATGGAGGTCGTACATGGTCAGGTCCCGACAATTCCTTCAAGGGAACGGCTACCAGAACCTCAACGATGAACGCAAGAGAGCCCTGTTCCTGGCCCACTGCGGTTCCGACGTCCTGGAGATGGCCATCGACCTCGTGGCGCCCAGGGATATTGAAGAGATGTCCTGGAGTGACCTGCAGGAAGTCCTGCAGGAACACTACGCACCCACAGGCACCCCGATTGCCAACAGATTCACCTTCCAGCAAAGGAATCAACGGGAAGGTGAATCCATCAAAGAATTCGTGGCGGCGCTTCGCCAAATCGCTGCCAATTGCGAATTCGACAACGTGGATAATGCCATCCGGGACTGGATCATCTTCGGAATGCAAGATGTGGGGCTCCAGAAGAAGTTCCTGAGCCGCAAGAGAATTCCGCTCAAGGAAGTCCTTGAAGAAGCCACAGCCGCCGAGACATCCGAGAAAGTGGCCGCCGCGATGGTGAAGGCCAGAGGGGTCCACAAGATCCACAAGTCGGGTCCAAACTCTTCAGATGACTCCGCCACGCCATCAGAATCCAAGGAGGAAATGGCTGTCCACAAGGTTTCCGGCCTCCCCAGGCGGGAAAATCCCCAACATGGCGACCGGGGGGAACGATGCGGCAGTTGCAAAGGCGACCACCCCAGGGCAAACTGCAGATGGAGGGACGCGACTTGCCGCCGCTGCCTGAAGAGGGGACACATAGCCGAAGCATGCAGAGCAGCAGATCCAGCCCCGGAACCACCCAGGCCAAGATTCTGCGAAAACCGCAGAGAAAGCCAGAGGACATCCAAACGGTCCTCGAACCAGTCCAGGCGCAGGGACGACCAATATTCCCACAGCAGAGCAGTGCACCAGACCACAATCGCCCACACAAGCGACGACGGTGCCACCAAATTCAATGTGACACTGCTGGCAGAAGGGTCACCGTGCACAATAGAAGTAGATTCAGGTTCCATCTACTCCATTATGGACTGGCAACATCTGAAGTGCCTGAAGCCATCCTGTGAAAAGAACCAGCTAAAACCCCTGAGGTCGAGGCTCGTGGATTTCAGTGGAAACCCCATTGGAGTCCTGGGCAGAACCACTCTCCACATCACCTTCAAGGACTTCCAAGGCAAGCTTCCCATCACAGTCGTGGAAGACAGCCGACCGAACCTGCTAGGAGTGGAGTGGTTCAAGCCGCTAGGGTTATCGATCGGAGGCATCCATCAAATCCAGAGGGATGAACTCAACAACTTCATCGAAGAGTTCAAAGAAGTCTTCGATGGTAAGCTGGGGAAATTTGTGGGGAGGCCAATCTCCTTTAATTTGGACAAGGGAATCACCCCAATCAGGCTGAAGCCCCGCCGGGTTCCGTTTGCCTTGCGGCCAAAAGTAGATGAGCAGCTAGATAAGCTGATCGCCCAGGGCGTTCTGGAACCTATCGATCATGCTTCATGGGAAACCCCCATTGTGACCCCAATGAAGCATGATGGATCTGTGCGCATCTGTGCCGACTATAAGTGTACAATCAATAAGGCGTTGGCACAGAGCGCATACCCAGTCCCAGTGGTGCAACATCTGCTGCATTCTCTGGGAACTGGCTCAATTTTTGCCAAACTGGACCTGGCCCAGGCTTACCAGCAGCTGCCAGTCAACGAAAAAACGGCAGAGGCCCAAATAATAGTCACCCACAGGGGGGCATTCAAATGCAACCGTCTCCAATTTGGAGTCAGTGCTGCCCCCGGAATCTTCCAATCAATGATGGAACGCCTTCTCCAAGGCGTTCCAGGGGTGGTGCCATACTTTGACGATGTACTAATCTCTGGAGATTCTAAAGCACAACTCCTTGAAAGACTCAGGCTCGTCCTGCAGCGTTTCAAGGCCAAGGGCTTGAGAGTCAGGAGAGATAAATGCATCTTAGGAGTACAGGAGGTCGAGTTCCTGGGCTATCTCATAGATAGCACTGGCATCCACCCCACCAAATCAAAAGTTAAAGCTATCCATGAAGCTCCTAGCCCAAAAAACAAAACGGAGCTTCAGGCATTCCTTGGATTGCTTAACTTCTATGCCATGTTCCTCAAACAGAAAGCCACGGTTGCTGAGCCACTCCACCGCCTGCTGGGGAAAGCGGCTTCCTGGAAGTGGGACCAAGAGGAGGAAGCAGCATTCCGGGCCATCAAAGGACTCTTAACATCCAAAAGCGTCCTCATACAGTACAACGAGACGCTCCCAATCAAGCTCACCTGCGACGCATCACCATACGGGGTGGGGGCAGTCCTCAGCCATGAACTCCCTAATGGCTCAGAAGCCCCAATAGCCTACTTTTCCAAGACAATGTCCAGCGCAGAACGCAACTACAGCCAGCTGGACAAAGAGGCTCTGGCCATCGTCGTGGGAGTCAGACGGTTCCACGAGTACATCTATGGGAGGAGTTCACCATAGTGACCGACCACAAGCCGCTCCTGGGACTCCTCGCAGGCGACCAACCAACCCCGACCTTCATGTCCCCGCGGATGACAAGATGGGCCATCTTCCTAGCCGGCTATTCCTACAGGCTCATGCACCAGCCAGGCACAGCCATAGGAAACGCCGACGCGCTGAGCAGATGCCCATCAAAGGATCCAGTGGAAGACCCAGCCCCCACGCTCGACCTCTTCCACATCGACAACGACAACAGCTGCCCAGTCTCATCGGCAGATGTGGCCGTCCACACCCAAAAGGACCCCACACTCCGCCAAGTGAGATCCTGGATCCTCAGAGGGTGGCCGACGGAGAAGGCAGAGGAAAAATTCAGCCCCTTCGTCAGAAAGCAAAAGGAGCTGTCCACCATGAGAGGCTGTTTGCTATGGGGAGACAGAGTGCTGATTCCCAGCACTCTGCAAAGAAGAACGCTAGGGACCTTGCATAATGGGCACCCCGGCATCGTCCGCATGAAAGCCCTGGCACGGAGTTACGTCTGGTGGCCATCACTGGACAGAGACATAGAAGAATGGGTCTCCAGATGTAACCCATGCCAAGAAGTACACCCAGCGCCGCCTCAAGCCGAAACAATGAAGTGGGAGACCCCCAGCAGCCCCTGGTCGAGGATTCACATCGACTTCGCGGGTCCGATGCAGGGGCGCCACCTACTCATCGTCATCGACGCCTTCTCCAAGTGGCTCGAGGTGGTACCCATGGCATCTACCATAACTGAAGCAACAATCTGGGCTCTACGCCGCCTTTTTGCCACCCATGGACTGCCGGATGTGCTGGTCTCCGACAACGGGCCCCAACTCACGTCCCTGGCCATGGAGGCATTCCTGGCCAGCCTGAGCATCCGCCATGCCCTGTCTGCCCCTTACAGGCCAGCTGGGAACGGACAGGTTGAACGGATGGTGAGACTCACCAAG